AATACGCTGAGTGAAATTTTTAAATTGTATTGAATTATTAATTAGTAAAAGATTAAATTAGTGAAAGAATAATTATTGTAGGTGATGCCATTCTCGAGCTAATGAGGTTCAAAGTTTTTAGGTAAATGGCCAAAATTAAGAGAACTATTTATAAATTTGAAAAAGTAACTTACCCACGATGTGTATTGACAACTTTTATCGACTAGAAATAAGTTTCAGCACTCTAGCTACTACTGTCTCAGAATGCGGTCGGTTTGTATTAGAATCGAACAAATCTGTTTTAACGAAAACTTGAAATGTTGTTTCGCAAAACAAGTGCATTTTCTGGTCTAGCATCAAAAGTTACATCGGTCAAGTGAAGTTTCCTGAAACAATCAACTCACATAGCTGAACAAAATGCGATCGAAGTTCAAACTTTAGACTCGATTTTCTAGAGGATTATCAATCAGACAAACTTTTTAGTAGCACAAATGGGCTCAGTTTACATTTCCCTACAAAGTGACATACGCCTAATTTGAAAGAAATCAGGATTACCCGATTTTGTGTCAATTTGTATCGATTCGTGCATACGACTAATTTAAATGTGACAATTGTGCTACAACAGTTGTTTTCTAGTAACAGCTCATTCAGTAACATTGTAGTAATTCAATCACTATGGTAGACGCATTTCTAGAATTGGTAAATCTTGAGCTTGAAATCTAAGTTCAAAAATTTCAATCTGGATATTTTCAAATTAGTTTTAGCTTCTTGTTTAACCAGAAAATATTTTATTTACCAAGAAATGGGTTGAGATGAGTTTTGTTTGTTGAATAAGTTGTTGCACATTTAAAACCCAAAAATCATAATCCAAATGCGCTAATCAAAAGTTATTAAATTGTATGGAATTATTAATTAGTAAAGAACTAAATTGGTCTAAGAATGAGGACTGTAGGTACTACCATACTCGAAATATCGAAGCTAAAAGTTTTTAGGTTGCAGGCCAAAATCAAGAGAACCATTGATAAATTGAAAAAAGTGTTTAACCCACTATGTGTACCGACAACTTTTATCAACTAATAATAAGTTTTAGCTCTCTAACTTTTATGGTCGCAGAATGTGGTCGGTTTAACTAAAAATTGAACGAATCTGTTTTACAGAAAAAGGAAAGTGCTATTTGTCAAAATAAGTGCATTTCCTTGTTAGCCATCAAAAGACACATTCTTAAAATCGCGTTTCATGAAAAAATCTGCCTTCATCAAAGTACAAAATGCGATCGAAGTTTCAACTTTGAACTCAATTTTCTAGAAAACTATCGACCAGAGAAATTAGTAAATTACACGACTGAAACCAGTTTTCGCGTCCCTAAAAACTAACAGAGTCCGAATTTGAAAGAAATTAATTTTTACCCGTCTTTACCCATTTGTGTCAATTTGTGCATAAATGTGTTAATTATGTCTATTTAGTACACACGAGTCCCCACTCTCAACTTGAAAGAAAATCTTTTACTTTTTCCTCGCAGATATCAATATTGATTATGATATTGAATCGATATAAGGGAATAGAAACACTCATCGGAGTTCCATCCTCATACATAATACAAACAATTTTATTAATTAAAAAGCAAAACTAGAAGTCTAGATGTAAAACCGTTAACAAAACAGTAAATAATATTAGTAGATAAAGAGTTAATAATAAAACATGTTATTCATAAAGCTAAAGATTAAGCCTATGGAAATATGATGCGATTGTTACAGTATATTTCATCATGCTTGAAATATTAAGTATCCTTTTGACTGGATTCTTTGATGAATCTGTACATTTCAACAACTTAATTTGCGTTTATTTCCATCCTTGGTCTGTTCAATCTATTTGAATTTGTGATTCTGGTCAACTTGAGCTAACCAGACTGTCGCTAATTGTGATCCATGGAAACAGATTTCATTGAGCTGTAACTGTTTTTACCATTTCAAGTTTTATTGCAATTCTAATGATACTAGTGATAAATATGTCTACAAATCATGGAAAGATCATGAAAAGGGGTGGACTCAACAGTCTCATAAACAGTATTATTGGCATTTCATCGCTTTCTTTCTTCAAGTGAAGATATTTCATTTACAGTTTTATCAATTTTTATGGTCTTCTTTTAACCTAAATTTTTTTCAATTTATTTTTCTTTCGTTTATTATTAATATTTTTGTATTATAATTATACAAGTTTTATTATTTTTATTGATTTGTGAGACTAAAAAATTTCTACGTCTTTTGTTCCACAGTTATCTTCATTTTTTTACTTTTGGATATTTTACATTCGTGTTGATCCTTTCTTCGACTCAAAAGAATGAGTAAGCGACCTTATAAACCTAGAAGAGGGAGAGGTCGTGGCCACAACGTTAATAGTGTTGCACGGATTTATGATGGAAATAGTGAAAATCGCGTTGGACCTGAACTGTTAACACCGTTGGGAAATTTCGATTGTAGCGGCCAAGATGGTGATAATAAGCGAAGTCGTGATAAAGTTGATGAAGAGTTTCAAATTGGATTGGCAGACCCTGAATTTGTGAAAAGGAGAGGATATTTATCTGAAAATTTTGGTCGCAAAATCAAACTAATGACGAATCATTTTTCGTTCCAATATTCCCCAGATGTTCAAATTTATCATTATGACTTTTCATGGTTATGTTACGGTAAAGATGGTGAAGAACCAAAAGAACAAAAACTGAACAGTGATAATTGTTATAAGCTATTCGACGCAGTTATGGCAAAATACCCAGAGCATTTCACTTCGACGTCTTCAGTAGGCTATGATGGTGCGGCAAACGTGTATTTACCATATGAGCTTGAGTCGGAATCAAGCAATCTTGCTGTCCCGGACGTTGAATTGGAAGATGGAGTTAAAAAAAATTTCATCGTGACTTTTAAAGGTGGTAAAGTCATCTCTTTGGCATCAGTTAAGGAATATTATGCTGGCTCGAAGATGGATGATACTAAACGCAAATCTCTCCAAGAAGTCATTCACATTATTTTGAAGTTCCCCTCAAGATACAATATGAAAGCTTTAGGTCGTCTCGCCATGTTTCCGATCAATGCAGAGAGATATTATTTGTCAAACTGGATGGAATTGGCTTTGGGTCATAGAAAATCTCTTCGATTTTCAGAAATTGGTTTGACATTGGTAGTGGATAGAGCATCTGCTGCATTCCTCAAGTCTGGTAATGGTTTAGACTTTGTAAAATCTATAATTGATCGCCAAGGAGGATCTCTGTCTACTTTTAAACCCAGTCCAGCGCAAATAGAAGCCCTCAGAAGGGCGTTTGCTGGTGTTAAAATTTCGACTGTTCATCTCGGGTACACAAAAAAATATGTTGTGAAAGATATTGCTGAAATCGCAGCTAATAAAGACACATTCAAGTTAAAGGAAGGTGAAATTGATCAGGTTACTGTGGCCGATTTTTATAAAATGAAACATAAGATAGTCTTGGAATACCCTAATCTACCTTGTTTGATTACAAGTAACAACTCCAAAATCCCAATAGAAGTCTGTAAAATTGAGCCAAATCAA